TTGAAAAGTCTTGTTTTTCCCGACAGAGAGAGAGAGAGAGAGAGAGAGAGAATAAGATCATGCTTGCCTTCAAATACTGCTGTGACAGCTTTATCACTAAATGCTAAATGGCCATTTACTCCCTTTTAGCAGAGAAGTGTGGCCCCGGCTCATCATATCGGCACGTCATCCATTTCAAAAAGTGAAAATAGACCAGAAAAATCTGTAGCTGTCTCGCTGACAAACACTAACACAAAGCTAATAGCAGGCCTACAGATTCAGGGTGAAGCACACAGCATTGTCCTGTCAGTGAGAGGTCTTTCCACTCACCTCGGCCAGAGTGTTTCACACTGAACCTCTGAGGAATACCCTCATTTCTCATAAATCAGCAGTCCAAGACCGATTTGAAGATATCATCCATTCCTCAGGGGAGATGAAAATAACGTGAGGAGACCCACGTGGACCTAACAAAACACGCCATTCGCTTCTTTTAGATCCCATGAAATCAAAATGGGAGTTTTGTGGCTGTGCTGATTACAAGTAATGCAAGTTATGTCATCTCAGACTACTTTTTTCAAGTAATGAGTAAAGTAACACATTACTTCTTAACTTGCAAAAAAAATATCCGAGTTAGTTTTTCAAATAAGTAACAGTTACTTTGTTTTCTCATTTTTCATTTTCAGTATTCCTCAAAATAAACAAAAAAAGTGAAATCCAAACTGATGCAAACCGGCAATAATCATGATAAATAACACACATTTCCTCAGTTACTTTGTTTTCTCATTTTTCATTTTCAGTATTCCTCAAAATAAACAAAAAAAAGTGAAATCCAAACTGATGCAAACCGGCAATAATCATGATAAATAACACACATTTCCTTTATGTGTTTATTTTCTTCAGCCTGAGGCTTATTCATTTCACTTTAGGTGTGAAAGGGCTTTTACATTTGCCAAAAATAGAACGTTTTTAAATTAAAAACAAACAAGCGAGCCCAGTCCAGATGAGAAAAAGTAATGCAAAAGTAGCGTAACACATTAATTTCCATAAAAAGTAGCTAAATAATGCAATTAGTTACTTTTTTAGGGAGTAACGCAATATTGTAATGGATTACTTTTAAAAGTTACTTTTCCACAACACTGTTTTGTGGCTTTTAGTTCTTCAAGATCATCTAATGTACAGCTAAAAGTATTAATATTTATCTCAGAAAATGAATCAAAGCTATTAATGACATCCTCAAGTTCAGAGGCGTATACAAATGTTTTGTCCAATCAGATCCTTTCTAGAAGGTCTCTCCCCCAATACCTTTTCAAAAGTTACTAATATGTACCTTTAAGGTATTTATTTGCACACTTTGAATAAAGTAGTGCCCCAGTGACAGCTTACCTTTTTTTCTGAGAGTGTAGCAATACAGTGCAACAGTCATATTGCAATAATAGTTCAAATCCCATTCATTTTCTTCACAGGGGAACTGAATTTTAAAGCCAGAACTACTGTTAACCAATGGTGTAACCCGGGGCAAATTTGGGTTTCTATGGTATATGCTTTTGTTGAAGCCATCAGCTCACATCATATTTATTTTTTATTTTTTTGTAAAGTAACAATGTTTAATAGTGGAATTTCTGGTTAGAAACAATATTTTCCATGATTCTGCAATGAAAATCCACCAATAATTATTTTTATTTTATTTTATTTTATTTTATTTTATTTTATTTTATTCTATTCTATTCTATTCTATTCTTTAAATGCCTATATGGGAAACGTACTTCCAGATCCAAGGCCACTGAAAGCATGGGTTAGATTTTTGGTGTCTTAAACGTGTATTGGCTATCTAAAAAATGCCAGCACACCTTTCTGATTTAACATGACATACAACAATGGAAGGAAAATGACATTCGTCAAACCATTTCAAGCGCTCTTTAAGTGCTGAAATGTCCTTTCACTGAGAGCAAAATAACAGCTATGAAATAACAGGTAGTTCTGGCATCGGTTTGTTCAATTTCTTTACCCCATGTGCTTTGCTCCATGTGATTCTACTACTCATTTCCCAGAGGAGAGAGAAATATCAAACTGAGACTTGCTTAAGCCTGCTGTTTCTGAGATCTTTCCCTGTAATGTAGAGTTTCAGAAGAGATCTCAACAATGTCTCAGACTGTGCTCAAGATACCAAAATCTGCAACCGAAACATTTCTAAATATTCGCTATCTAAGACCAAATGATTTGAGCTATATACTATTCATTTTACAGCTCCGTACTCTTACTGTATGTCGACATTTGTGTCTCTTATTAATTCTCCATAGGAAAAACATGTTAAAAGCTCATACTTCATTGAGTTTTATTGCATATACTAAGCTTTGAAAGAGCAGCATCTGTACAATACAAATTTCCAGGCATAACAAGCTGGTTTGTCAGATAACATCTGCTGTGCATTTCCAATGAGACCCTAATGATTCAATCCCTTGGATGGACACTTGTTGAGGAGATGAATTATCCCTGTAATCTTAAAGCCAAGGAAGTGTCAGCTGAGCTTTAGAGATGCTTCAGTTGACCAGTAAGAGATCAGGCCCTGGAATGGATGCTATGGACATACTACAGATGGGATGAGTGAGTTCATGCCTGGAGCCGCTCGTATCAGTCTTGAGTCTGACAGTCTGAGAAGATGGATGGATCCCGTGAAGAGGATCAAAAAACCTCAAAAGTATGCAAATGAAGACATGAATGCTTGTTCGGTTGCATGTGTTTATGCGTTGCTGTGGTAGTAACAAATTTAAGGGGGCGATAGAGTTCATTTCAAATGCCTTGCCTTTAAACCGAGTGTCAAAACTATAACTAACTTGCTCAGCAACAATCTCTTGAAATTGCTGCACCATGACGGTAATTGACCTGAATGAGATACCGACTGCAGAAGAAAAATTTTTTTTTTGTTAAAGCCCGCTATAGCGCCTCTTGTGGTAATGCAGACAATGCACTGAAAAAAGGTAAACATCCAAGTTAACTGGTTTTATAACTGATAAGGCAGAGATATTATTTGATATCACTAAATCAACCTAAGTACGTACATTAATTTATACCAAGAAAAAATATATATATACATTTTATGGGTTAAGAAATAGCACTTTCAGGTGACACCTGCGGGTCGTACTTTTTACAGCGTGCAGTTTGGGTGAAATCGGGCTTGTGAACCTTCATGAAAAAGTGCACTTGCATTTCAAAAGAGTACTTATTATGGAAATAATAAAAGAATGTGAATTTAAAAAACTGAAATGTTTTCAGACGCTTAACTCCATGTTCACGTTGAACTTAAAAGTGATTTTCTGACCCTCACATAGGACTTAAGTACATATTTATGTATAATTTACTTCTATTGTCTTTGAAACATGGTTAAAGTTACTGCTGAATGCATTTATGATTAACTAAAATATACTTTAATGTAATTTGTACTGAAACTTATATGCCATGTATTTAAATATATTTGTAATAACTAGTGCTGTCAAACGATTAATCGCGATTAATCGCATCCAAAATAAAAGTTTTTGTTTACATAATATATGTGTGTGTACTGTGCATATTTATTATGCATATATAAAAAAAACACACATACAGTATATATTTTGAAAATATTTGCATGTAGATACATTTACATTCTTATATTTTATATTATATATGAATATATTTAATATATAAACATAACATATTTTTCT